TTTTTTTTCTGGTGATGATGTACAAAAACTTACCTGATTGCTTGCATTTCCAAAGTAAAATAAAACTGCGATATCCCTACCCAAAAATTGTTTTCGCTGATGTTGAAAAGTCCCAGAGATGTGGAGGCACAGGACTGAGAGAGAAAGCAAACATGTCCGCCTTTTAAATTGTAAGCTGTTGTCAGAAAGAAATACCCCTCTGTTGGAACTTATCACTGGTGCTAATCAATTAAGGTGGGATTTCAAAATGTATCCGAGATAAGCGTCATATGATTGGTGATGCAGTATTTTAAAGAATCAAAGAAACAGAGAAGTATTTGTTTGAGAGGTTTCAGCTCAATAATGCGTACCAAACTAAGTATTTGAAATGACTCAGCAAACTAGATTTAAGACACTGAATCTTTATTTACTGTAAAAGGAAAGTAAACCCTTTTCAATTCTAAGGCTTTATAAATCAGGGATCAATAAAAATCCCTGGTCCTTAGCATGTCTTAATATAAGGCTATTTAACGAGAACTAGCACTATCCCCTCACAGCAACAACATCCGGGGTTCGAATCCAGGCAGGACTCAGTGGAGTTTGCATTCACCTCTGTGTTATCCCTGTGACAGACACAGAAAACAGACTCATCACAACCCCAGCAGGATGCTGAGGTCCTGTGGGTGCAAAACAAGGCCAAATAATCGCTCCTCCACCACCATGCTTAACACTTGGTATGAGGCATTTGTGCTGATATGCTGTGTTTAGTTTTCAAAAAATGTGGCATTGTGGATTAAGGCCAAACACTCTACTTTGGTTTCATCTGGCCAAAGGACATTGTTTCAGAAGTTTTGTGGTTTGTTCAGATGCAGCCGTGCCAACCTAAGCTGTTCTGCTTTGTTCTTTTTAGAGAAAAGAACGTTTGTCCTGCAACCCTTCCAAAAAAGTCATACTTTCCTTTTGAACAATAATGGCCCGATCTGAGTGCGTTTGCTCTCAGCAAGATTGGCAACTGTCTAGAATGTTTTGCAGTTGCCAATCTAGCTCACTGTGCTCAGTGATGGCCTTATAACCCTTTCCAGACTGATAGACAGCCTCTTTTAATCATTCGTAATATCTTTCCGCTTTGGCATTGTGCTTCCACACAAACAGTCAAAAGCCCTGCTTTTAGAGTTGCTCGCACTTACTGTGTGATGCTGATGTATTAATTACAAGCACTTGATCAGCATCACCTGGCTGCTACTTACACTCTTAATTCCTATGGAAGCATTAAAGGGGTGTGTTTAGCGTTTCACACACTATTTCTGCATTTTGCCCTAGTTTTTGTTGACACAGCGTATGCTCATATTTGTAGTTCTTCGCGGTTGTATTTATCTGATCTTTTCACATGACTGTATGTAGCTGTATTTACTTTTTCTCTGAAAATTTTCTTCCTTTTCTGCATTAGAATTATTATTATTATTACTGTCTATTATTACTGTGTCGTAGATGTAACAAAATCACAAGAGCAAATTTTTCAATTAAATTTATAAGACACTCATTAAAAAGATTCTTATGTATAAAAATGTAAAAGTCCCACACAGTTTCATTCATTCCTTATGTATTTATCAGCTACCATCTGCTGCTTCCATTCAAAGCAGTTCATCATATTTATATCCTCTCAAAAGCAAAATCATTATCTTTGAAGAAACTAGAAACTCCATCTGCTGTCAGTGCTGAGTAACGAATCTCAGCTGTAATGATCTTTTGCGAGTCTGCAGCTGGAATCCAAAACTTGCTTCCACAGGTGAGATGACTGTAATTTCAGCACATCAGCAC